TATTTTCTGAATTGTGGGTTGAATTTCATAAAACAAACAAAAACCTGTGAAATTACTTTTGACTTGGGATTAACACAGACTTTCCAGTCACTTCTGAAATGGTCCTAAACATATTTCTTCCATTTTGTACAATGTATTTATAAAAAGAGTTTTTACGTTGATGATTAATAAATTAAAATGTCAATTATCTCTATAATATGTTAAGATGTTCTATGTTCCTGCAATATCAAGTATTCAGTCAAGATTTGATTCTTAATGTAAAAATAAACAAGCACCATCTCATTAGTATACAAAATTGCTTTTTTGTCTTTAAAATAGTAGCAAAATTATATGCATTCAAAATAAGTTCTTTTGTTTTGATGTGTGTTTCTGCGTTATATTCATAGATATCCAAGATCATGTACAAGTTTCTGATCAAAAAAGGAGTGTGAGAGGAATACATTTAAGAAACCCTATTATAAATAAGCACAAAGCTTATGGAGGTTAGTTTTGTTGTCAACTTGACACAGTCGAGAATTATCTGAGAGATAGTCTCATGGAGGACTGCTTATATCAAGTTGCCCTGTAGGGCTCCCCAGTAAGAGAAATACATAGATCAGCAGAAATGGGTTAATAATTAAGGCAGAGCTAGCCGATAAGAAACAAAAAAATGGGCCAACAGAATTATATCTAATACAGAGTCTCAGTGCTTTATTTGGGGCTGGCGCGGCAGCGGGACAAGACCAGCGGCGGCAGGCGGAAAAACCATACTCATTACAGGGCATGTTTATTGGAGGTTGTCTTTGAACTAATTATATGAAAAGACTGAGTCCACTGTGGGCAATATCATTTCCTAAGCTTGGGGTCTTTGATGAGTAAGAACAGAGAAAGTGAGCTTAGTACTAGAGGCATGCATACATTCATTTTCAATCTATTCTTGACTGGATGGGACTAGCTGACTCAAGTTCCTGCCTTAATTTCCTTCTAAGGATGGACTAGATCCTGGAATTGTAGCTGAAGAATAGATCCTGGAATTGTAGCTGAAGAAAACCATTGTTCTTTAAAGTTGCTTTTGCCAGAGTATTTTTTTTTATACCATCAACAGAAATAAAACCAAAAACAGAGTTTTAATGTAACATGGGGGAATAGTCTGGCTGAATAACTAGAGGCTTAAGTGATAAATAGAAATGACCGAGGTTTTACTACCCAACCCCATATGAAAAGATAAGCAAAGATTCCAAAACTAGATAGGAAAACATCGCATTTAAATGTGAAGTAGTTCCACAGCCATGTGTTTGCACACTTGATTCTCAACTAGAGGTGCTGTTTTGGGATGTTGTAGATCTGACCTAGGTGAGTTTATGCTTCAGCAATCACAGCGCACATAGATTCAAGAAAAGAAGTGATCAATTGCTTGTACAAATTGTCATGAAATTCATTTAAAAACAAAAACAGAAGGTGAAGCAGAGCTAACATTCAAGCCAAATAGCTAGGAAAAGCAAGTTCCCACACCATCCTTTTCTTCCCCTCTCCTTACCCATCTTACTCCCTCCCTCCCAGGGTCTTGCTATACTGTCTAGGCTAGCCCTGAACCTATGTTCTACCTGCCTCTGCCCCAATAGCTAGGATCACAGGCATGTGACACCACTGCTGCTCAGGAAAGAGACAAGCAGAAAAGATCAAATACAACTAATTGTCAAGAATGGCAAGACAGAGGGGTTTCCATGAAGTATACTTGAGAATCAATTTCTAAGGAAATGTTCTGAACAGTCTAGAGTATGAACCCCCTTGTTCCTTTACTCCACAGAAAAACCCTTGAACACATGAGATAGTGTAAACAATACACCCATGCTGTGAACTGGGCTGAAAGGGTCAGGATCTCTGTTCCCTAAATTCTCAACTGTCAGGCTTAGGATCATATTCAGAAATCACCATGGAGACAGAGTAATAGAAGTCTCTCACACAGGTATATGAGTGGGAGGAATGAGGGGCATGTGTTTTTAAATACAATATGTCCTGACCCTATAGTTAGTGAGAGCTAGGAGAGTCATGGTAAGTCACTGAACAAGTCTCCACACATGTTTTAACAACTTGCTGCATTCTACGTCTATCCTAAGCAGCCACCTCACCTAAAGCAAAAAATGGACTCACCTACAGGAAATCTTCAAGTAAAGTTGCCTCTGTCTATTTACAGGACATCCCTCCAGGCTTACTCCTGATCTCCCAAGTCCTTGGGGCTAAGGCAAGAAGTGTCCACTGTGCTTTTATGCTAAATAAAGTAAAGTTGCCTCTGTCTATTTACAGGACATCCCTCCAGGCTTACTCCTGATCTCCCAAGTCCTTGGGGCTAAGGCAAGAAGTGTCCACTGTGCTTTTATGCTAAATAAAAATTCTAGAAACTTCTGGTAGGTGAATTCTGTTTTTACTACTACTTTCTGGTTCCAATATATAAGGCAGGAGGGTTTAATATCATAACAACACTGTTATAGGGGTATGAATACCCTCAAAACCATTCTTGTTAGCTAAGGTTATCTTCCTTCAAATGACACACCTATTCAAATAAGGACTATGACACAATTTCATTGTTTTTCATTAAAATTGTCTAGAAAGGAGGTCTAGAAGTGATAGCTGAATCAAAAGGATTTTTGTTGTTGATATTATTTTTAAAACCTAAGGGACCTTTTCCAGGCAGACTGAGAAGCACAATTAGTTATACTGCTTGATTTAAAATGAATGAAGATCAAAGAATAACGATACAATGGAGTAAAGAATATAAATATGTAACTTTGGCCTTTCATTAACTACTCCAAGGTCATTCTCAATTGGCATGGGTAATTTCACTATTAAATCATCTGGACAAATATCTTTGCAATAGCTAATAAATTTTTGTTTAGTTCTTCATGAAAAAATATCATCTAATTTTCATTATAAACTCTATTCTGTTTCTTTTTAATAGCTGCAATAAAGAACTAGCAAGGAACTTCCCCTTTGCCTTTCGAAAATGCAAACTTGACAGGCCAGTACTGTGACCATCTGTGATTTCATGATTAAGAAACATACATAATTTAGTTCATTTATCAGGGCATTAACACAATTCATCAAAACATTAAGATTTGCCTATATGAATGTTACTGTGAAGATAAAGATACTCCAGAGGAAGAGAGAATATATATTGAAGTCCATTTCATATCACCTACAAGGGAAGAACATATGGGGAATGTGAAGGAGATGAAATGCATGTAAAAACTGGCTCTTTCTCATCAAGAGTCATTCTTAAAGAAGAGAAAGCTGGTATTGGAAAGCAACTGCATGTGCTAGTCCTTCACCACAAGTGAGAGTCACTTTCATTATTGATTTGTCTTGGCAAGGGAATGAGGAATAAATTAGAGAAAATATTTATTGTTTATTTACCACCATCTTGTATTTTAGTGAATGTTGCAATAAGCTTTTTCATAAACTACCTGAGACAGACATGGTAAACAATTATTAATTTCTGGTAAATGTTGGAGATGGAAGAAGACACAATGTATACTATAAATCTACTCTGTGACAGTAAATCTCTAAAGTTTCATCATTAATGTCCAATTCTCTGAATTTACGATCCTGAATTGCATAAAGCTAAAATGTCATACAATGGTTTTTGTATAGAGCATAATTACTAAAATGTAAGAGGCATCAGATTGTTTCTCCCACAAACATTTATTCTGTAGTCCTTAGTTACCTCAGATTGTTAGAAATTATGTTATAGATAAAAACAGTTGAGGGGTAGAAGGAATATTTAGCCCTCTAGGAGATAAAGGCCTTTATAAGACATGCATGAGGGCATCTGGTGACAATGAAGGCAGAGATTAAAGCACATTAGCTAGCCAGAAAACCCTAGAAGCTAGGAAGAGGCCACAAAAAATTCCTACATGTGTCACAGGTACATAGGTCTGTCTCTGCACCTCCAGCCTTCAGAAATATACAGGCATATATTTCTGTTGTCTAAATCACTCTGTGGTGTTTGTGTCGCAGCCAGGATAAAACCACATGAAAAAGTTTAATTATGTCATGGTAGAAAGGTGATTGTGACTCAAGACAAGACACAGAAAGAACAATCTTCATGAGATACATGTATCTGAAGGATTGTTACACCAAATCATAAAGGATTCTAAAAGCTTTCAAATAAGAAAGCAAAGAGTATGTGCCAAATGGGTAAGAGACCTTAGCAGATGCCCTGCCCAAGGAAATGTATGTGAGGAGGGGGAGGTTTATTTTCATGTTTGGCAAAGTTAACTATCTGTGGTATTAAAGTTTGCCCCCCGCCTTTTTTTGTCAATCAGAAAGAAAATTAATCAGGTTATATATTTGCACTGAGAAGATAATGCATATTTGTTTTAATGGGTAAGTTGATTAGTAGGTAGAAGATGGATGGGCAGCTAGATGAGAGATGGATAAATAGAAAATAGGCAGATGGATAGATAGATGTTAGATGGATGGAAGAATGGACAGATGATAGATAGTATAGGAATCAAGTAAGAAAACCATAAAATTTCCAACAAATAAATAATTAAAATGGTCTTTCTGTAGTAGGAACATATGAAGCCTATTTGGTCAGATATTTATCTTTTATTTCATTTACTTGCTTACTTTGAAGTGCTGGAGATGGAAACATGAGCCTCATGTATGCTCAGCTACCACCGAATGACATCCCAGCCCATACTCCCATATACTTAAAAGTTGTCTGATTTCAAAACATCCAACGATTTAGAATGTACATAGAAGAAAATATAAGATAGTAGTTTAAAAGGTTTTTAAAATTTGAATCTTTCTCCTCAAGGTATTAACTTCTCAATGTGATCATTGTTTGCCTTTTATTTCATGAGGTCATCTAACTCTTTCATTTAACTCTTCCAAGCTTGAATTGTCTCATATTTAGCAACATAAGGGTTAGCCTTGAGCCAGTGGTATGGGGTAAGCGACACAGGTTTCTTTATGTGGCTACTGGCACAAACTAGTGGCTCCTATGAATGGGCTCTCACCACATGTGCTGGAACTTGTTCGGCTTTTGCAGCGGGAGTTCCGGGTCTTGGATAGAATTGGTTGATGAACAGGCTTGGGAATTTGTATTCTTCAACAAGTTTCAGTGTTTCTTGAAAATCCTGATCGGTTTCTCCAGGAAAACCACATATAATATCCGTAGCAATCGTTATTCCAGGAACCCTGAAGAAAAAAAAAAAAAAAAAAAAAAAAAACAGACAAAAATGTAAAAAGACTTGACCCTGAGCCAGAGTTATTTTATTTCCTTGACATTTTAAAAAGTTTGTCTGTTTATTTATTTATTTATTGGGACAGAAGACTTGTAAACAGTTTTGAAAAGCTGTAAAGACTAAGAGATACAATGATATAGTGTTCCCTGGTCATCCTCAGAGGCATTCATTTTTAATGGTTTTATACATATTTTTGTTTTGTTTTCTCCTCAGTATCTTAAGATAGATGCTTACTCTGTTATTTCTGGATTTGTTGGTTTTTGAAAGGCATTATTTAAGGACTTTTACATTATGGCAAATGAACTAGCTATAAATATACTCTAACACTGTATTCATAGTAATTCCATAGAAGTGCTACAGAGACAACTGGTATACCAAGTTGTTTCTCAACAACATTTAAAGTTTTCCTAGGATAGTAACCGCCTCTTTGTAAAATTTGCTTAACATTTCATGTTCCTATGCTGTATCATCTCAAGGCTTCATCAGACCTACCAAAAACTCAACAGCAGCATGGGCTGTTGCCCATTGGCAGAGCTTGTCAAACAAGTACAGTGTCCTGGGTTCGAAGTCTGGCACAAGTACCAGTGGTGGAGGAGATGACAAAATCAAACCTATTTCTAAACACCTGATTCAGTAGATCACTCGGCACCCTTGTCACTAGTTTCTGGAAAGGCCACTGCTACTTTCTTTAGGTATGTACTACGCTAGCAAATTAATTGGTTGTTACTCTTGACTGCTGTTCCTTGCCTTCCCCTTCCTCAGTCCTAGGACCTAGTGCCTTGCGAATTCCCAATTTCTTCCTTTATTTTGCTGGAGTATATTGTCAGTACCAGGTGACACTGTTATTAGGTTTCAGAACATCTGAACACACAACTGATTGGCAGTACAGTGGTATACAACATTCCAAATTGAAAAGAATTATCTACCAGAATTTTGCACTGTTCCTTTATAAAAAAATACCGATAGACACTGAAGACATGAAATTCACTCCTGTGCACACTCACAATTTTCTAATGCTTGATATTAAACCTAGGGCCCATGTCAGCCAGATTAATGCTCCATGACTGACTCACTCTCCAGCCATACATTACACTATTACAGGTGCTATGCCACTCTCTTTTTAGGGTGTTAGGTTTTTTGAAATAATTTTAAATTTCATGCCAATATTGATTTTATTAGATTTTTTTTTAAAAAATGTTGTACAAGAGACAACTTAGACTTAAGGTCTTACAGTCTAGGAATCTTATTCTCTCATTATTTCTTTAATAATATCTCTAGGAAATTGTCTTATATTATTTCTTTAGTAATTTCTCTAGGAAATGTCATATATAACACTTTGTCTTAGGGATTAATTTCTTTTGTATATTGAAACCACCAGTTTGATCTTTAGCGCTTTCTGTCTTGTTTTCCATGTGTTATTTTTCTATCTTCTGGAAAATTCACTTGAATATGTTTTCCAGTCTCTAATTTAAAAAAAAAAAAAAAGCAGTGATTCAATATGTTTCAGTTTCTCACAGTTTTTTCTCCTTCTTTAGTTTTCCTTTACAGGACACCTTGTTTCTGTACCCATTTCTTTCAGGGTGAGAATTTTCATCAACAAATAGTCATTTTCATTGTCCCTTTGGTATTAAAGAACAAAGTACTGTAAACATTTTGGTAAGATATTTTATTTTGTTTCTTGTGCATGAGTATTTTCTCTTGATGTATGTTTGTTCACCACAAGTCTGGAATCCACAGAGGTCAGAATAGGCATCAGATCACCTTGGAACTGAAGTTATGGACATTCTTGAGCCACCATGTGGGTTTTAGGAACTGAATGTGAGTCCTCTACAAGAACAGCCAGTGCTCCTAACTTCTGAGCTATTTCTCCACCTCCTGTAATTTTTAATTGAAGGGTGAATATAGAGCAAACAGCCTTTGCTTTCATTAGGCTCAAATGCTGGAGGTGGTGCCACTTTTCTCCATAGCCTTACAGTTTATATCAGGTAGGCTACAAAGTTCTCAAAAACTTTATCAGTGTAATGGTAACAGAATGATACAACAGTTACTAACAGTACTCCAAAATTATGAATGAACTCATACACATTAGAAAATATATTCCATATAATACTACATGTATTTCCCTGTCACCTGTGGTTCTTCATAGATGAGCACATCAATTTGCTGGTGAAAGAGAGAAGTAGGTTTGGTCAAACTGCAGAGCTCCTAACAAATAAATTCATGAAAACAGAAGTTTTCTAACATGCCTTGCATAGTGTTTTATGCCTATATAAAGGAGACACAACTCATTCACTGTAAAAGGTACTCTCTCCCCATTTCTACTTTGCCTTATATACTCATTAATTTGGATGGATTGTAACTTGTAAAGTAATTGAAGGATTTTTCTATGTGATGATAAATATTAGGGACACTTTCATATGGGGAAAAAAAAAGGAATGGCCTTTTGTGACATAAACCCACTTCTTCCTTCTTTAAGGACAATCAAAACCACTTTGGAAAACCATAGAAAAATATGTTTTCTTAGTAAGATTCAGAAAAAAAAAAAAGAACACTTTTCTAAACTAAGTCTATGAATAGAAAGAAGTGTGTAAAATAATTTTCAACTAGCTAGTTTTACACTTGTCTTTTAACTATTCACGATCAAAAGAAATCCACATCTAAAAATAGAGGCAAAAGATAACAGATGACAGAGTATATCTCCCCCAGGAAATACCTTAGGAACTGCTTGTGAAACATGGCAAGAAATGAAGACAAGTGGTCATTGTCCTAATTTCTGAAATCAGAATGAATGTGTCAATAGCTGTGGGGTATTCCCACAGGAAAGTCCCGTTCTGATCACCCCCACCCTTCTCTATCCATCAGTTGGGCTCAACACTGGCCAACACTTGCTTGCTTTGGCTTTCTTGGTGGTGGTGGGGTGGGTGGGTGGCTTGGGACCAACCTTTAAAGGAACCACAATAAACAAGGATGTTCAAATGTGAATGTAACTCAACAATCAATTCAAAATCTGGTCTGGTAACACAGGAGACAGAATAGTACAAGTTGATGGCATGCCAATATTTAGAAGTAGAAACAGTTTAATTGTTTAAAAGTATATAAGAATATAAGCTGACTGTATCATAAAAGTAGAGTCTGAACCTTAATATCAGATGAGGCTCATCTATACATTAATTTAAAATACGCAAATATTTCCAATTATATTCTTGAAAATAATTTGATCCCTTAGGTAAGCTAACTAAAATCTCATTTACATTGTTAATTTCCCTAGTAAATAATCTTAGTATGCAAAACTCAAAGAAGTTTGAAGAGAAGCAAATTCTAATTTTGTATCTTGTGATTTAAGTAAGAAGAAAAGATAAGGGTATAAAACAGAGTATTATTACAAATATTTAAATGCTAATTCTGGATAAACATTGTCTTTGATACACTGAATTTTCAAAATTTCTAATTTTAAAAAATTAATTTTCACAAATTTATTGTAGAGAGTAACATGTATGCAACCACTAAGGAGTATGCTCTTGAGTTTCAAAAACCTTTTAATATTTATGTTTTCTTAGTAGCTTTAGGAAGTAATTCTGAAATGATGAAATAAAAATATTCAATGAACTGTAATAACAGGAAAAATTTGACTCATCATTTTCTCTGTCTGATGTTTACTGCCAAAGCAAGTTTGTAAAATAACTTGGGAATAGAATAAGGGGGATCCTAATTGTATATCTTACTTCTCAGACACAGCTACTTACAGTTACAGAACTCTATCAGGGACCTGGAATGACTACATAGTACCTGCTAGCACTGGGTTGGGGATGTAGCTAAGTTGGTAGAATGCTTACCTAGTACACATGCCCTGGGTTTAATCTCTAGCACTATACAAACCAGTTTGGTGGTACAAAAGACAACACAAGACAAGGCATTTCAAGAAATAAAAAAAAAATACATATATATGCTCCATGATTTGATTTCTCAAGAAGGCTTTCATTTAACTTATATATAGGCTGGCCTCAAAAATTGCCAATTAGTCAAGATTGGTCTCAAATTCCTCCAATCCTCTACTTCTTTCTAAGTACTGGGATTGTGGGTACTTATCATGGGTACCTGGCTCTGAACATTTGAAATACTACTTAAAATGCATACTTTAATTCATCTTCAGACTTCACTTGCAATTACATGTTTTCTTGCTAAGGATGTGAAAAGGAGTGCTCCTATTTCATTTTTTCACTGTTGTATGAGAGAGGGTTCCATTCTGTTACCCAGAATGGTTGAGACTTACGATGTAGCCTAGGCTGGCCTCCAACTCCCAGGATCCTCCTGCTTCAACCTCTCAAGTGCTGGGTTTACAGGCACAGGACACCATGCTCACCTATTTCACTTCTTAAATTAACAAATTCCCAGCTTCAACTCTGTAGGTGTAAAAAATCAGGACTACTATACAGTTGCTTATCTCAAAAGATAGAGGAACTGAGAAAAGCGACCAAAAGTGTAAGACATAAAAACTACAATTAAATGAACACGTTTTAATACTGTTGTGCTTCATTTCAAGAGAATTATATAAAACTACTGGGACAGTAAACTGGAAATAGGAAGAGGAGATAAAGATCTTGAACCAAACAGAAGTGAAAACGCAGACTGTCTATAGATGTGATTTACAGCGAGAGCAGTCCTCGGGAATTTTATGGTTTAATGACTTTATTTGGAAGATATAAAATCAATTTTCTTAGCTTTCATTTCATAAAACCAACAGAGACAGAAACCACACTCAAAGTAAAATAGAGAAGAAATTTAAAAAGTATGGGAAGAAAAATAATAAGGAAGAAAAATCAATAAGAGTAAAAACCACATATATAAAAATTTAAAATTACTTAAGTTCTAACTAGGTTGAAAGAAAAGGATATACAAGTGATCAACTTCAGGGACAAATGAAGGAACATCACTACATAAGCTACTACCAACATT